TTTTTTGGTACAGGGACCTTCCAGTTTCTGGATCCACAGGGGAACCGACTAATCCGGAATCGAGCCGGGTAGGACCACAAGGGCGACAAAGCTCTCCCTCAAGAGTTTTAACACTGTTGCATTCCTAGGGCTCGAACACAAGACCACTGGTTAAGCTGGAAGAGACTCAAGTCATCTCATCCAAGCGCTCTTGGGTAGCTTATAGCTTATTTAATTAGCTTATAAGCTCTCTGTATTTAAATAAACTCCGTTTGGTAGGACGAGCTTATTTGATAAGCTTCTTTTGGTAGCTTTTCAAATAAGCTCGTTGAAATTTTTATTTCAGCTAGCTTATCAGCTAATTTTACCAAACACCTTTATCATATAAGCTAGCTTTTCAGCTATAAGTCATAAGCTATAAGCTATAAGCTCAAAAATTACTAATAAACTATCAGCTAGCTTATCAGCTATCAGCTAACTTATCAGCTAATTTTACCAAACATAACCTTGATTGATATTAGTTGCCATTGTGATTTGGAAATTTGCATTTTAAAGCTCAAATCTGTAATGAAGAAAAACATTTATGAAATTTGATATTTGAATTTTTTACTTTTTGTTGTAAGGTTTAAGTTTCAACTCTACACACATTTGTCGTAATCTTTTATTGGATCAATATACGTGAATTTATCGAGTTATTTTCAACAATTTAACACACATATACATACCGTATATATGAATTTGTCCATGAAAAAATCAATAATCGCATTGAAGTTGTATAGGGTGATATCTCTTTTTTTGTTAACCCGACTTATTTTATTAGGTCGACTTAATTTTTTTAAACATAATTACATTTTTATACGAAAAATTCATACTTCAAAAAATAAATTAAAAACATATACTAATATGAATATGTACTTTTATATGAACAGTATGACGAATCGAGTCGAGTAGAGTCGCCTAATGATTCGTGTATGTTTTTTTTTTTTAACTCATCCCAAGTAGAGATAAATAATGTGCACTTAAATTCAAATTTTTGATATCACATGCACAAAATTGTTGTTATTTGAATCGTGATGGGAAACAAATTTACCGATAACTTAGGAACAAGTGGGCCAAGTAAAATAAATAAATAAATTTTAATCATTTAAGGGAACATAATAATTGTTAAATAGAGGGGCCATTTCGTGCAAAAAAGTAACCTTAAGGAGTTATATACAATTAAAGTGCT